ACAATAACATTGAAACATGTGCAATAACCTTGACATCTTTGCGATGACAAGGGTATTCTAAAAAACAACATTAAATACATGAATCTTGAGAATGACGTGGCTATACTAACAAATTCCTTTGAAAACTGATTGCCAGCATAGATTAGCGGCTGGACATGATGCATAGGACAAGATGATGAACTCTTGCAAGCACCGAAGCAGAAGCGAACCGTTTTACCCTAGATGGTGCGTTGAAAAAGTGAACCGCACCGGTTGATACACACCCTACAGATGGACAACCGCCTTAGAGAGGGAATTCGTTGGCAAACACTTTAGAGATGGAAGTGGGGGACGCCTACCCAAGAGATGGAAGTGGGGGGACGCCCACCCCAGAGATGGAAGTGGGGGACACCCAAACCAGAGAAGGAAGTGGGGGGGACACCCACACCAGAGATGGAAGTGGGGGATACCCGCCCCAGAGATGGAAGTGGGGAATACCCGCCCCAGAGATGGAAGTGGGGGACACCCGCCCCAGAGATGGAAGTGGGGGATACCCGCCCAAGAGATGGAAGTGGGGCTCACCCAACCCAGAGATGGAAGTGGGGGGACAACCACCCCAGAGATGGAAGTGGGGGACACCCACCCCAGAGATGGAAGTGGGGGACACCCACCCCAGAGATGGAAGTGGGGGACACCCACCCCAGAGATGGAAGTGGGGGACACCCACCCCAGAGATTGAAGTGATTGACAAACACACTAGATGTGGAAGTGGGTGACGCGACCATAAAGATGCCACGGGTTTGACCCTATTAAGCGTTAATCTGAAAACTTTTTTCTATTTTGAAATTAATTATGTATAAAGCATAAAGAAGTGAATATGACGTAATTTTATACTTAAGTTGACATATAACATAGTCATAATACTTATATAATGAAATATGATGTCACAAGGTATTGCATACTTCAGTTTTTATACATATAAAATAAGTGCGTAGTTTGATAAACGCATTCTCGGGTCGAAAGAGTTGTGGACATTGTTAAACCCTTAGAAAGCCAAAGTATGCCACCAAAGAGTTCAACGACAAAAGACTTATGTCAAGTTAAGAGGGTCATATTTCAGACATGGCGTTGGACTGCCACACCTAGATTTAGTGGAGGAACTGCCACATCTAGATTTAGTGGACGAACTGTCACACCTAGATTTAGTGGAGGAACTGCCACGCCTAGATTTAGTGGAGGAACTGCCACATCTAGAATTAGTGGAGGAACTGCCAGGCCTAGTTTTAGTGGAGGAACTGCCACACCTAGATTTAGTGGAGGAACTGCCACATCTAGATTTAGTGGAGGAACTGCCACATCTAGATTTAGTGGAGGAACTGCCACATCTAGATTTAGTGGAGGAACTGCCACGCCTAGTTTTAGTGGAGGAACTGCCACATCTAGATTTAGTGGAGGAACTGCCACATCTAGATTTAGTAGAGGAACTGCCACATCTAGATTTAGTGGAGGAACTGCCACATCTAGATTTAATAGAGGAACTGCCACATCTAGATTTAGTGGAGGAACTGCCACATCTAGATTTAGTGGAGGAACTGTCACACCTAGATTTAGTGGAGGAACTTCCATGCCTAGATTTAGTGGAGGAACTGCCACATCTAGATTTAGTGGAGGAACTGCCACATCTAGATTTAGTGGAGGAACTGTCACACCTAGATTTAGTGGAGGAACTTCCACGCCTAGATTTATTGGAGGAACTGCCCCACCTAGATTTAGTTGAGGAACTGCCACGCATATAGTTAGTGGAGGAATTGCACATAATTTTGGATCTCAAATAGTACAGCTAAATGCTTGACTTACAGATGGGATTTTTAATGTTATATTTGCCGCCAAATCCAGTTTTGATAGTTCAACGAAAATTGAAAGTAAGAAACAAAAAAAATATTGTATTATATACTTTATACAATATAACATAAATACATTATAATTAATTAGGACATTGTGCCCATGGGTTCTCGCAGGAATTTTCTCAAGGAGTCAAAAAATTCGATCATTTTTCTTTATATTACAAAGATACAACTGGTAGCTGAAGAGTTGAGGTCTGTGTATTAATAGTAGCCTACTTCTTAAATTAGAGTTTAAAAAAAACAACAACATAAAACAGTCATTTTTAAAACAATATTCATTTCCTAAAATAAATGAGTAAGTTTGTAATACAAACTATAAAAAAAAAGCTAAGAGAATGTTTCTTGACATCATTTAATTTCAATGTTTGAATATTCCAAGTATTTCTATTACTTACCGCATAAACTCTGTTGACACCTGAACGATGTACACCAAGCAAACACAACCCTGAAAGACTTCCGTCATCCATGTTAAAAGAAGCCAAGTTTTGACTCCTCTGAGGGAACTGAACTCAAACTTCACGGTGCAAGTTGTTTTTGGTGATGTAAGTGCTATAAGAATAAATGAGCGAAGAGATGGGGAAGAGTCCGTGACTGGCGGCCAGTAGATAAGCTGCAACTCAGTTTTAATATCATGGGATTGTTGCTGCATGCTCCAACAATCAAACCAGTTCAATGCTTCAAGCTCAAAGTTGTCCATTGGGTACAAACTAGTATTTGATGTCTCTACCCTCTGATTAGCCTCTTTCACGTTAGGGATTTTTCGATCACTGATAATTTAATCTAACGCCACCCATGGTCTTCATGAACATTCCACTTTCACCAGCTAACAACAAAACTCAACAACAAAACTCAACAACAAAACTCAACAACAAAACTCAATACTCAAAGTCATTCCTCAAACTCAAACTGTCCACCGTGTGTCTCCCCGCCCCCCAGGCTATCATGTCTTCCCTGTACTACCATAAACTCTGCCGATGTCAGGCTAACTACTCCCTCATCTATTGTACTTCAGTCCGGTACCTACGCCCATCGTTTCTCTTCTCAGATCTGGTCATTTGGCTCATTTAAAAAGAAATAACAGTTATAGATTCATGATCTTTTTTCTATGTATAGGGTGAAGGTGCAAATACTATTTTTTTTTAGTTTTCATTTGTATTTTTCGGGGGGACGAGGGGAACATGTGACCCACCTTGCGCCACACTGTGAGCATGCTAAGTTAGCAAGGAGACAAGCGCTACATAACTATTCAATTCATACCGCGGGCGCCCATGATTGTTCCTGGTGTCACCGAAATCGTCAAATGCTATGCCCAGCTGCCTTCCAAAAAATGCCCAGCTGATCTTTTTAAAATACCAAGCTGCCCTTTTTTTAAAATGATATGCCCAGCTTCCTTCCCAGTGTTTAATAATTTGCTTTCCAAAGGACAATATAAACATTAAAATCAAGCCCCCCCCCCCCCTCATGTGAAGGGAATTTTTTTGAAAGAAAATTTTGAAAGGTAGTCAAAACTTGTTTTAAAATCACTTTTTAACGCATTGACGATTTTGGATAAAAATATCACATTTGAAGTCCGTTCAATTGTTTAGACCAGGCCTGTACAACATAAGGCCCGCGGGCCGTATCTGGCCCGTTAGCACCCACTTTGCGGTCCGCGAAGTAACGACATTTTTTTAACTATTATTATTTTTTTAATAACTTTACGCCTTGTCCTATTTTCTTTCGGCTGCACAAGGTTTACATAAAGTATTACGGCCCGCCTTATATTTTGTGTTATGCCAGCCTGGTTGAGACACATGCAGCATGCGACACAAGTAAAGTCACCTCTTGAACTCACATTTGCAGTTGTAAACGTTACATCTTATCGGCTGCATCGTAAAACCAGTAATGTGAACGATATTGTTTTGGGCATGTAGGATGAGTTATGTGGCGGCCAGGTTGTGAAGCAGGAACAGCTGTTATTCTTTATATCTTAATTACACAATGTGGTAGCAATTACACTTGGGGGGCATAATTACACATTGAGGTCCTAATGTGTGGTCGTAAATATTACTATTTGGTGGTTTTATATAGCACAGTACCCCAGCCTAGGGCTAGGCTCACTGCACTTCACATAAAAATTAGCAATTACAAAAACGTATATAATTAAAAAGAACAAATGTTGAAAAGCTTGACCTCACCCACTCAAGTACTCTCTACCCCTGTGTAGCAATGGACAGCACCCAGCAGCACCGCACGTTGTTTATCAGTCAGAGGGGGTGAGAGAGAGTAGGTATAGAACAGTTTAAAGAGATTGGTCTTCAGGGCAGTTTTGAAGGCTGTGATGATCGTTATATTATAAAAGTGTAATGGGAGAGAATTCCATTGTTTTTGGGGCACAGAAAGAGAAAGATCGTTCACCATTGTTTTAGTGCGTGTTCTGTGAACAGAAAGAATACGCATGTCTGTGGAGGAACGAGGCCGTCGAAGGGGTGAAAGACTGTAAGATGTTCAGTGAGATAGGAAGGGCAGGAACCAGAGAACAAGTTGTGACAGAGAACAGGCAGTTTGTAATCAATTACACATGTGGGTCCTAATTACATGTGGAGGTCATAATTAAATGTGGAGGTTTAATTACACATGAAGGTCATAATTACATATCGGAGTCTTAATAACGCATGGAGCTAATAATTACATGTAATTGTCCTAATTACATGTTGAGGTTCTAGTTACACAAGGAGGTTGTTATTACGTTTTGAGGTCATAATTACACAATAATGTTGTAATGCATCATATGTTGTAATGTACCATATGTTGTAATGTACCATATGTTGTAATGTACCATATGTTGTAATGTATCATATGTTGTAATTTATAATATATATTGTAATGTATCATATGTTGTAATGTATCATATGTTGTAATGTACCATATGTTTTAATGTAGCATATGTTGTAATGTACCATATGTTTTAATGTAGCATATGTTATAAAGTACCACATGTCGTAATGTAGGTTGTAATGTATCACAAGTTTTAATGTACTATATGTTTTAATGTACCATATGTTGAAATTTGTTCATATGTTATAATGTAACATAATTAAATAAACAGTTAAACACCACAAATTATCTTGAAAAATTCTTCTCAAAATTTATCTTTTATTAAGTTACAAATAATTAATATTTTTTCTGACACAAATTGACGATTTCCTTGTACCAAGAAAGTCGATTGTCCGTTAAAACATGATAAGTGAACACTGCTTCATAATTCTTAATTATTCGTAAAATTCGAGTATTTTTCTGTTTCATGAAATTTTTTCAAGCAATATTCATTATTTTTATTCCAGCATCCCAATATTTATCAACGTTTTTTGACAACTTCCAAATTGATCTAAAAAAATGTGCATTCATCAAACTTATTAGATACACAATGCTACTGAAATGTTATTAAGTTTGCTATGAAAAGATCGAACTGAAAATCTTAACTGGTGACCTTAAATAAATCTGTAAAACTAAGACAGTCCATGTACTAAATCGATGTCCGTCTACGACTGGTGTGTACGGGGGTTTTAAGGTTTGAAAAAACGTGGATTAAGACGTCTGTCCGTGACGTCTCGCTGGGAATCTTTGGAGGCTGCGTCCACAACAATCAGCGCGCTAGAGACGACCTTGACCAGGTCACCGGCGTCATTCGCTACCCCACGTCTGTGGCGCGCAGCTGCTGGGTTCTCACACGATCTGTAGAAATGTAGCCAATGGTCATCTTAAGCACAACACCCTTTGCTTTGTCTACACAGCGCAATCTGCACCCCACCCTTCGTTTTGTCTACACAGTGCAATCTGCACCCCACCCTTCGTTTTGTCTACACAGCGCAATCTGCACCCCACCCTTCGTTTTGTCTACACAGTGCAATCTGCACCCCACCCTTCGTTTTGTCTACACAGCGCAATCTGCACCCCACCCTTCGTTTTGTCTACACAGTGCAATCTGCACCCCACCCTTCGTTTTGTCTACACAGTGCAATCTGCACCCCACCCTTCGTTTTGTCTACACAGTGCAATCTGCACCCCACCCTTCGTTTTGTCTACACAGTGCAATCTGCACCCCACCCTTCGTTTTGTCTACACAGTGCAATCTGCACCCCACCCTTCGTTTTGTCTACACAGTGCAATCTGCACCCCACCCTTCGTTTTGTCTACACAGTGCAATCTGCACCCCACCCTTCGTTTTGTCTACACAGTGCAATCTGCACCCCACCCTTCGTTTTGTCTACACAGTGCAATCTGCACCCCACCCTTCGTTTTGTCTACACAGTGCAATCTGCACCCCACCCTTCGTTTTGTCTACACAGTGCAATCTGCACCCCACCCTTCGTTTTGTCTACACAGTGCAATCTGCACCCCACCCTTCGTTTTGTCTACACAGTGCAATCTGCACCCCACCCTTCGTTTTGTCTACACAGTGCAATCTGCACCCCACCCTTCGTTTTGTCTACACAGTGCAATCTGCACCCCACCCTTCGTTTTGTCTACACAGTGCAATCTGCACCCCACCCTTCGTTTTGTCTACACAGTGCAATCTGCACCCCACCCTTCGTTTTGTCTACACAGTGCAATCTGCACCCCACCCTTCGTTTTGTCTACACAGTGCAATCTGCACCCCACCCTTCGTTTTGTCTACACAGTGCAATCTGCACCCCACCCTTCGTTTTGTCTACACAGTGCAATCTGCACCCCACCCTTCGTTTTGTCTACACAGTGCAATCTAGAGTTGATTGCTAAATCGCAAATCTTGTGTATATATTGATCATTAAGGCGAATGTATATGTCTATGTGTATACATTAATTATTTGATACAATGTACGTACGTACTAATAATTTAATCGAATATACATTTCAATGTAAACATATCGATTATTTAATCGGATGTATATGTCCATGTGCACATAGTCAAGGCAGGTACCATGTGCTCAAGTCCTCTAATGAAAAACTGAATTTTGTTGTTGTTGACATTGCAGACTTAGCTTTTTGTTAACAGATGCCAGGAGTAGGTCATGTGTTTCTTTATTTCTCAATGCCTACATACAGTTTTTTTAGTCTTAAAATATGGACAAAAACTAATTTTAGGCATTTTGATAAAAATTTCAATTTTTAAAAAAAATATCAAAATGCAAATTCATAGATACGAAAACACAAAGATAAACTTCCAAGCTCCAGTCGTTCAAACGTTTTAAATTATTTTATTAAATACATCCGACCACTTTTTCACTATAGGGTTTTCCTCCACATTTTGTAGCCCTTATTTGGGTTACGTATGTACGCCTACAACTTTATTCTAAAGTGATACAAAAATATAATGTTTACGGGAACATAGTTATTTATCAGCAATCCTAAATTAAGCCACAAAATATATATAAACTAAAATACATATATCAGTTGTTATAAAAGCTGTTTACTCCACGTTGCAAATCATATTACTATTATAATAGTTTGCTATGCATAAGTCAAAGTCAAGTATTTATCAAGCCATTTCCATAGCAACCAAGCCCAAATATAAAACCACTGATATTTCATAAAGCAATAATGGTCATTTATGTTATCAAACATTTTTTATTTATTTAAAATACTTTATGTAAGTTAAATGTACTAATTATATTCTGTATAACCAAAATACTGAATTATTAACTAACCCCCGCGTGTTGTCGATAATAGGTAATATGCAGACAAGCATGGTCACCAAGGTGAAAAATTTCATAACCCAATAAATGTGACCTAATTGATTTTCGTTTTTGACGCATGGCTACGGTCTAAATTCGTGAGTTTTTTATATATAATAAATGAATTTATACATGTAATTTGCGTTTTTTTTATATGATTGATCGCATTAAAAAAAAAGGGATTGTTTTGTAAAATGTACAAATCCGTAACTTCAATTCTCAAACTTTAACCTCGAAAAATATTTAAATAAATTCTCAGTAGAACAAGCAAGATGTCGGCTCTCAGTAACTAACGAATGCAAACGTTATTATTCTGCTAAAATTCAACTGTAAATGGCAAACCAACGGCCAACGATGCCCTCGGTAAATTAAAAAGTGCAGTTGGCGATGTTGAAAACGAAATTACGATACCCCATTTTCGAGGGTTGTCTGGCGATATCAAGTAACTTCTAAATCGATAAATATTTTTAAGCCTACTGGTCTGATCTCCGACTCTTTTTAAGCAAGGGCGCAATTTGATGCTTTAATCAACTTCAAGATGTTTCAAATGTTTCCTACCTGTCACACGTTGAATTCAAATCTTGGTCCGAGCAGACGCGTACGTGACAAGTGACGTAGGCGCTCGTGTAGCCGTCCCGTTGGAAGGCTTTGAAGCGAAAAGCCTCCCTGGTCAAGCTGATGTCGTAGGTGCTGACACTGGCCGTGTCGTTGGGGCATCTAGAAGTCAACGGGCCAGAAAAAACATTAGCTGCTTAAATTAAATCAATTGCACAGAGTAATTTCTCTTTAAAACTGAACAAAGTTGTTGAAAACTGTCGGAAAAAGATTTTCATTGTCATTTACAAAAAAAAAAAAAAAAAAAAAAAAAAAAAAAAAAAAAAAACACAAAAAACATTAATGACGAGTGTACCTACAAGTGTTGGTATAGAAATGCATTTTTATTATTATTTTATTTATTTTTTTGTGCACAGTTGCCTCGATTAACGTTGTTTCGTAGCCACTGGCTTTAAATAAATATGGTTTTGAAATCGATTTCAGACATCAGCAATCATTATCCATTTAAAAGTTGTACCCGATTCGTATAGGTTTAGAGTTGACAGCCATAACGTTGATATTGATTTTACTTTGCCAAAAGTCAGAGTATTTACACATTTAGAAGATTTTTTTTTCCAAGTAGAAGAAGCTCTTTCAGCAACTAAAACAATCATGTCTGATCTTAGAGTCTGGGTCAAAATAAAGTTAAAAGTGGTTGGGGGGGGGGGGGTAAAATTGGACATTTCTACTTACTTGTTTTCTATCAGTGAACTATTTTCAATTGGACATTTCTACTTACTTGTTTTCTATCAGTGAACTATTTTCAATTGGACATTTCTACTTACTTGTTTTCTATCAGTGAACTATTTTCAATTGGACATTTCTACTTACTTGTTTTCTATCAGTGAACTATTTTCAATTGGACATTTCTACTTACTTGTTTTCTATCAGTGAACTATTTTCAATTGGACATTTCTACTTACTTGTTTTCTATCAGTGAACTATTTTCAATTGGACATTTCTACTTACTTGTTTTCTATCAGTGAACTATTTTCAATTGGACATTTCTACTTACTTGTTTTCTATCAGTGAACTATTTTCAATTGGACATTTCTACTTACTTGTTTTCTATCAGTGAACTATTTTCAATTGGACATTTCTACTTACTTGTTTTCTATCAGTGAGCTACTTTCAACTTGACCTAGGGCTCCCACAAAATCAAGCGTACAGTTGGTGATGGCCATCTCAAGACTCAGGTCCTTGAACAGATCGTCCAGCTCTGCCTTGAGGTTGATGCCGACGTACACCCAGTCCCCGACAGCCACCGTGTAGGGGCTCGCTGAGATTGGCGTAGCGCATGTCTCATCTGGACAGAAGTTAATCTCAGGCTTGGGAAATAATCAATTTAAAAAAAAAATTATAGGAAAGCTGTGAATTAAAAATTAAAATGGAATGTCTAAATATAGTATGTAATTGAAGTACGATTTTATTTAAATTATCGAAATAATCAAACACTATTTCTATGCATTATTACCTGATTCTGGTTTTGATATCGACATTTTAAAAATAGTTATGATGTTGAAATACTGAATTCATTTTAATGTATCAAAAATGCCCATGTCTCTGTGCGTCTTTAGATCCCTTGCGTATCTAGACCCCTGACATATCTAGACCCCTGGCGTATCTAGACCCCTGGCGTATCTAGACCCCTTGCGTATCTAGACCACTGGCGTATCTAGAACCCTGGCGTATCTCGACCCCTTGCGTATCTCGACCCCTTGCCTATCTCGACCCCTTGCGTATCTAGACCCATTGCGTATCTCGACCCCTAGCGTATCTAGATCCCTTGCGTATCTATACCCCTTGCATATCTAGACCACTTGCGTATCTAGACTGTTTGCATATTTAGACCACTTGCGTAAATAGATCCTTTGCATATCTAGACCCCTTGCACATCTATACCACTTGCGTATCTAGACCCCTTGCATATCTAGACCCCTTGCGTATCTAGGCCTCTTGCGTATCTAGACGCGTATCTAGACCACTTGCGTATATAAATGTTTCAACATCAATCTATGAAAGTATGAATGTATGAATGAAAGTCTCAATGATATTGTCAAGTGACTTTGGACATTTGTGGATTATAAAGAAGGATTAAACTCAATCAAATGAAGGTGAGACTTAAATTTGATCAATGCTTTGGACATGATGGTAACAGGATTGAATAGTGCTAAGTACCTGATGATCATAGGATTGAATAGTGCTAGGTTACCTGATGGTCATAGGATTGAAAGGTGCTAAGCTACCTAAAGGTAATAGAATTGAAAAGTGCTAAGTTACCTGATGGTCATAGGATTGAATAGTGCTAGGTTACCTAAAGGTCATAGGATTGAAAGGTGCTAAGTTACCTGATGGTCATAGGATTGAAAGGTGCTAAGTTACCTGATGGTCATAGGATTGAAAGGTGCTAAGTTACCTGATGGTTATATGATTGCGATAGTGTATTTTTGACGAGGGGAGTTTCAGGAAGAAAATGTATGCTGACGTTCGACTCCATGGGAATACAACATTGTATGGTGAACCTGTTGATAAAACCTTGAATTGTGAATCTTATGATACAACAGTGTATTGTTGACCTAATGATACAATAGTGTATTGTGAACCTTATGATACAACAGAGTATTTTTAACCTTATGACACAACAGTGTATAGTGGACCTAATGATACAACAGTGTATTGTGAACCTCATGTTACAACAGATTATTTTGAACCTAATGATACAACAGTTTATTGTGAACCTCATGATACAAAATTGTATTGTGGACCTAATGATACAACAGTGTATTGTGAACCTCATGATACAACAGAGTATTTTGAACCTAATGATACAACAGTGTATTGTGGACCTAAAGATACAACATAGTTTGTGGACCTAATGATACAACATTGTTTGTGGACCTAAGGATACAACAGAGTATTTTGAGCCTCATGATGGAACAGTTTATTCTGGACCTAGTGATACAACAGTGTATTGTGAACCTCATGATACAACGGAGTATTTTGAACCTAATGCTGTAACAGTGTATTGTGGACCTAATGATACAAAAGTGTATTGTGGACCTAATGATACAACAGTGTATTGTGAACCTAATGATACTACAGTGTATTGTGAACCTGTTGATTTAAACCATGAGTCCGCAATGATTCTAGTGTTCAGCCATGAAATGTGAACAATTGTGTTCTTTTGCGAGATCTAAACGAAGGTTGCTACCAGATGGTATTTAGCGGACGAATATCGTCCATGTACGGGTCAGCGAGTTTCACAATGAATTACGTTTGGATCATTTGTTTTCATCAGAAAATTCATGAGTGTGATTGATGTCGGAATGACAATAAATTAAAAATAGTTGAGTGCTATATTTTTTAGACTTGAATTCTATTTGAAAAAAATTAATTTAAAACCGCACATACTAATCTACATGACTGATCTAAAGAAAAAAATACATATCTAAAGAATAAATGTATTACTCTTTTCTCTTTGACTCTGTCAGGACAAACCAGGCGACTTGGTGGTGGTACTCTACAGCATTCTCGTAGCAGAGGTGTGTGCCATTATTCTGAAATTATGGACAATCTGGTGAGGATTTGGACAGATTTTTCAAAAAGCATTCCGTCAACTCAATGACAATTATTAAACCGTAAACTGCTCCTTAACTCCCCTTTGTGTAGTTTGTTTGGGTTACTTTCCCCGAACTTTGTGTTAATTATTTTTATTTGGGTTAGAGTTTATTTTATGCTGACTTGGCACACATGGTACTGTTAAAATATTACGTGATTTGAAATAAATAAATATTTTAATACGTTCTTTGTATCTAAGTTTATGGATTTAACTGTCCAACCAAGGTCCAGGTGAGGTCACTTAAAGTAGAGCTGGGCCACACTCATTGGTTGATGCTTACAGTACACCATGTGCCACAATCATTGGTTGATACTTACGGTACACCATGTGCCACACTCATTGGTTGATGCTTACGGTGCACCTTGTGCCACAATAATTCATGGATACATTTTGTACACCATGTGTCACAATCATTCGTTGATACTTATGATACGTCTTGTAGCAAAATCATTCATTTATACCTACGGTACAACTTGTGCCACAAGCATTCATTTATACTTAAGGTAGTCCTGGCAGCACAATCATTCGTTTATACTTAAAATACATTGGGTGCCACAATCATTCCTTTATACGTTCAATAGAGTGGGTGCCACAATCAATCGTTTATACTTAAGGTAGAGTGGTTATCACAATCATTTCTTCAAACGTATTATAGACTGGGTGAAAAAATAATTCGCTTTCACTTATTATACCGTCGGTGCCCCAACCAATTGTTTATATTTATGGTACAGCGGTTGCTACAATCATTCATTGCTACGGTATTGTAAGTGCCGCAATCATTCGTTAATACTTACGGTGCACCTTGTGCCGCAATCGGTGTGAGGAATGGTCAGGCTGAGCTCCGCGTCATTCCGATGTGTCAGGGCACTGGTGTCACAGCTGGGCGAGCCGCTGGTCTTGTAGACAACGTTTAATTTGTCCTCCGTGAGATCAGGAAATGCCTCGCCTGGGAAGACAATCTTCAAGTCTCCCTTGGGATCAGTGCAGTCCAACACGGCATCCAGAGCTTAGAACAAATGCATTGGTTAAATTGATTGTTAAAATAATATTTTCCATTGATTAATTCAATGTTTTGTTTTAATTGATATTCGCAATTGATTGATAAATTTGCTGTTTAAATTAATATTTTCAATGATTGTTCAATTTGTTGTTTTAAAATGATATTTTCAATTGATTGATACATTTGTTGTTTAAATTGATTGTTTAAATAATATTTTCCATTGATGTGTTCAAAGTGTTGTTGTAATTGATATTTGGAATTGATTGATAAATTTGCTGTTTAAATTAATATTTTCAATGATTGTTCAATTTGTTGTGTAAAATGATATTTTCAATTGATTGATACATTTGTTGTTTAAATTGATTGTTTAAGTTCAGATATTACACCAACGGTTTGATTCCTTTAATTGCTCAAGTGTAACCCGGGGGGGGGGGGTGTAAGCATAAGTGCTACAATGAGAACAAATAATGATTGCGATTAAATAACTCCTATTATCTTTATGACTTAAAATATCTTTATGACTCATAACATCTTTATGACACATGATATCTTCATGACTTATAATTTTTTATGACTTATAATATCTCTATGACTCATACTGTATTATGACTTATACCATCCTTATGACTTACGATATCTTTATGAGTTATAAAATTTATATGACATACGATATCTTTATGACTCATAATATCTTTATGACTCATAATATCTTTATGACTTATAAAATATTTATGAATTATAATATTGTTACGCTCTGTTGTCTATAGGGAGAAATTTATCTCTTATTTTAAGTTTTCGGCTCATTCTTAACATTGCATAACAAAAGACGATCCCATATGGGAAATACAATTGAAAATGAATCCTATACTCAAAACAGTGCTAACTGTAATTAATAAGTTTTCATAAGCTACTAATACATTACAAATAAAAGAAATATAATTAAAATATAATCTAACAGAGTATTGTGTTTTATGTACCGGTACAAAAGTGGATGAAAATTACAATGTGCCAAAAAATAATGTACAACGATGAATAGGAATTCACCCATATAAGTAACCACAGCTCTATCAAGAATAACACACTCTTGTCGTCCCGAATAGTAAAAATAAATGCTAGCGTCTGCTGTCTTTAAATTCTCCGGCTTTATCTACCGGTAAAGTCTGTCTCTTGGATTTCTCGAGATAGATTACGTATTGTTATCGTCTCTCGTAACTCATGGTAACTTGATGACGTATACTATCTTAATGAAGTATACATTAAGGATTTATGATTAATGAAATGACAGATATGGGTACTGATTGAAAAGACAGACCGACAGTCACACAGTCAGACAGCCAAACATACATCCATACAAAAAATTTGATCGGACGGGAAGAGGGCGGACCCATAAACGGATTTAACAAATGGGCGGTGGAGTCATAGCCGGACATTTGGATGAGGATATCAATTTACTTGGTTCCGTTTCCAGAGGATTCTCCTCACACTGCACTCCAGCCAGCTCCGCCTTTGTGCAGGTCTTCGATGTGTCAAACTGTTTGTGGCAGTCAAAGATGGACATCTCTGTTCCATTGCACTGGACCCCGTACGATAAAACGGATACAGGGTCGTAGACTTCAGGTAAATAGTTTGTCTGTGCGGCTGGTCGGGCGCAAATGTTGGTGCTTAGTAGAAAAAAATAATAAAAATGAAATCAAATTTATGAAACTACCTACCACCCCCTCCCGTAATAATAATAAAGTTTCAAAGCATTTTTGGATTATTTAAAATATCTGAAAATATCTAAATATTTCTCTTAAACCACAGCATCGATTGAATGTTTGTTTACTACACGCCGTCAGTGAGTCTTGGTCAGGGCTACATCAGATCTCATGAAAAATATCTAGTTGTCAAGTGTAAATGTTTACATCTAAATGGATAGGTTTATTTTTGTTGTACTTTATTAGTTCTATAAGTATTTTAACATATGGTGTTGTTACTTTTACATTTAAACGAAGTCCGATCTTATGAAAAAGTGTTTTCATCTGTGTCTGTTCTGACATATCTAATCTGTCTGGTCTACACTGAGCAAATCTCAAGTTTATGGTCGGCAGTTCTATTCCAACCAAAGCCAAGTCAGGCAAAAACATCACCAGCACCCCAGGTAGATGGGACTCCTTAACCTTGGATTAGCAACTCATCTAAGAGGAAACACTGAATTCAAAACCAGAGATGGAGTCCTGTAAGCGGATACCGTTGGCACAATGAAACATTCCGACCACTCCTGCGACGCCATTGGTGCCATGCTCAATGATCCAAATGATGTTTCCGACAACTCCTGCGACGCCATTGGTGCCATGCTCAATGATCCAAATGATGTTTCCTTGGGTTATCATGGGCTTGGAGGGACCAGCTTACCTTCCTTGAAGAATAATCCCAGGCCTTGTGGATTTCTTCCTACACCATCGTCACATTGTGACGTACGAATGCCAGCAGAGCCTTTTGTATGGCACAAAAGCTCCAAAAAGAAATCTCCCCGATTGCCTTAGAATAATGTTCTATAATAGCAGCTTCAAACAGGAAATGCGTTGTCTATTTATAGCTTTGAAGAAGAAATGTCTTGTTATTGAAAACAAGCTTCTAAAAGATATGTGTTTAAAAGAACAAAAGCAAGAATTTTAAAAGAGATGTGTTCAAGAACAGTAGCATTTTTAAAAGAAATGTGTTCAAGAACAGTAGCATTTTTAAAAAAAATGTGTTCAAGAACAGTAGCATTTTTAAAAGAAATGTCTTCAAGAACAGTAGCATTTTTAAAAGAAATGTCTTCAAGAACAGTAGCATTTTTAAAAGAAATGTGTTCAAGAATAGTAGCATTTTTATAAGAAATGTTTTTCAAGAAAAGTAGCATTTTTATAAGAAATGTGTTCAAGAGCAGTAGCATTTTTAGAAAAACTTGATTATTGAATAGATTCCATCAAAACAAACAGTTACCTCTTGGGGTGACAGAAAAGCTCGCTACAGATAACTTGGGCATTGTGCTGACTCCACGCGTCGTCACAGATGAACTGCCATCCACCCTCCTCTTCTACATACACCTGCACATACCCCATGCTCTTGGTTCCCTCTCTACCGAGCAGACGTATAAACTCACTTCCACCAGCGCCTGGGTAAGAACGTTAACCAATCATATGGTCAGCAATAAATATAATGTATTCGTTTCGCATCTCTTCAGAAAACTAATTCTGTAAAAAAAATATTTTATGCACATTCTCTCGTTTATACATAACCAAATACTTTTATTTATACTTCAAAAATTACTTCTATGTATACATCGCCAAAGTAAGGAATTTAAATTACACTTTTACTTCTGCGTCGTTGAAGAATGTAACACTTATTACTTTTATTTATATATCGTCGAATAATGTAATTTTTATTACTTTTATTTGTTTATCGCCAAAGAATCTAATATTAATTTCTTTTATTTATACATCGCTGAAGAATGTAATACTTATTAATTTTATTTATGCATCGCCAAAGAATGGCATACTTATATTAGTATTTAGACATTGCAAGAAAAAAACAACAACATTTATTTCCGTTATTTATACATGACAAATGAATGTAATGTCGAAGGCTGAGTGTCCCCCATGTTCATTTTATTTCAAAAATTATATTTTGATAGATTAAGATTTGAAGCAACTGAATTTAAATTCAAAAGTGTCTCTCTCAAACGAAACGTCTTACGTCCAAGGAATAAACTCAGTTAATTTTATAAACTTGATCTGATTAAGACTACCGAAACGATACAGCTGTTTTAATTTATGAGGTTATGGGGAAGTGGTTTAAATTATTAATATAGACAAAATATGAGACATCGCTATGGATAAGAGCTTCACAGGATGATACCAGAGGATGACAGTACATGAAGATACTAGAGGATGATGTTTCGGGATGATTTTTCAGGATGATAGTACAGGATGAAACTACAGGATGATACAAAAAGATAATAGTACAGGATGATAGTAAAGGATGATATTGCAGGATGATATTACAGGATGATATTATAGGATGATATTACAGGATGATATTATAGGATGATATTATAGGATGATATTACAAGATGATACAAAAAGACAATATTACAACTTGATAGTAAAGGAAGATATTGCAGGATGATATTACAGGATGATAGTAAAGGATGATATTACGGGATAATATTACATGATGATATTACAGGATGATATTATAGGATGATATTACAGGATGATATTATAGGATGATATTATAGGATGATATTATAGGAGGATATTACAAGATGATACAAAAAGATAATATTACAACTTGATAGTAAAGGAAGATATTGCAGGATGATATTACAGGATGATAGTAAAGGATGATATTACGGGATAATATTGCAGGATGATATTACAGGATGATATGATAGGATGATATTATGGGATGATATTATAGGATGATATTACAGGATGATAGTACAGGATGATAGTACAGGATGATAGTACAGGATGATACTACATGTGACATACACTTGACCTACATATGGAGTACATGAGGGTCGGCTGGACCGTTGACGTGCTCTCTGTTGTTTGAGTCGTGAAGGTGAAGCCAGGTGACCCGAACACCGGACTGCCTGGGCCGCCATCACAGGTGACACCTACCTCATCATCCTTTTAGATCAAGAAACAAATCACGCGTGAAGATTTCTTCATATCTTTATGGTCTTGATAAAATCATATTTATATGAATATGTTTTATATCTTAAGTTATTGCTGAAAGTTAAAGCATGCTTCTTGGACTTTAAACAAGATTGTAGACAATTTTGTGTAATGGTTGCTATTGAAGACAATAATATGTAATGGTGGTGTAAGAACACAATATTTAACGGCTGTGTAAGGCACGTAGATAATTATATGTAATGGTTGTGTAAGACGTTTAGACAATGATATGCAATGATTGTGTAAGAAAAGTAGATTGCGAAATCGATTTCCAGCACTGAGTTAAATGATTTAGGTTTCCCATATGAAAGACATCGTGTTACTTCTGAGTACAAAAACCTGTGAGACGAGCATTGGTAATGGACATGTCTCATTTAAGTATATATAAGAGGGTTTGACTTGGAGAAATTTCTAATGTAAAGAGATATCCTTAAAATAGATTTTTAAATATTTTTTTTACATCAGCTAATATGGTTTTCATTGCGGACATTCGAACATGAGGTAACATCGATATCGTCTCAAATTATAATAATAATAATAAAGTTTATTTCAAAAACACGCTTCATCAAAAAAAAAAATTAAAAAAAATTTTTTTTTACCACATTTAAAACAAACGCAACACTACAAAAACTAATTACAAGCATCCCAATTCAAATAATATATTTATAAAGAAGATAATTAGATAGCTATCAAGAAGTGGTTAGGTAGCATTCAGAAAGATGGGTAGCCAATCAAGAAGGTAGTCAGGTAGTCATCTATTAGATCGCTTAGTTACCATCAAGTAGATAGTTAGGTAGCAATAAAGAAGATAGTTAGCCACCAAGACGAGTTTGTTTGCCATCAAGAAGGTGGGTAGCCATCAAGTAAATAGTTAGGTAACTATCAAGACGATAGATAGCCATCAAGTAGATAGGTAGCCATCGAGAAGAAAGTTAAGTAGCGATCAAGAGGATGGGTACCCATCAAGAAGAAAGTTAGGTAGCCACAAAAGAGATGGGTAGCCATCAAGAAGAAAGTTAGGTAGCGATTAAGAGGATGGGTAGCAATCAAGAGGAAAGTTAGGTAACCACCAAAAAGATGGTTAGCCATCAAGAAGATAGTTAGGTAGCGAACAAGAGGATGGGCAGCCATCAAGAAGATAGTTAGGTAGCGAACAAGAGGATGGGCAGCCATCAAGAAGATAGTTAGGTAACCTGTGTCAGTGTTGTTCAGTTTTTAATTTAAAAATAAATGACATCATTTATGTTGGTCAAGCAAATTATCTTCTCCTGTTCATCCCTTAATTAAAAATTACTCTTGAAAGCTATCCCTTCCATGTCCTTACCCCATACACACACGAGATCACATGGTCCGCCCCAGGACACTGAGATAGTGACGACTCCACTCCTGTACAGTTCAAATTACCCATCAGGTAGTTGCGACTTCCAGCGGCGAAAGGGCTGGGCCGACCAGTAGCCTTCCCAGTGCTAAAGAGAAAATACAAATAGAAATAATTATTTTTTTAGAAAACAAGACTAAAATAAAGTATGTTTAATGGAACTGCATTTGTAAAATAATAAATGATACATGTATGTATAATAAATTATAATACTATGCTTTAATTAATTAAAAATTTTAAATTAGAGTGCTAATTTAAAAGTGCACGTCAACTAATCAAAAAAAGTTATAATTAATGCCTGAAAAGAGATACATATTTATGTAGTGTGAATAATCTTTCCTTGTTTTATTTGATTCGTTATGGCAAGTATTATGTCATGTTTAAAAATTACTTTTCGAGTTCAAAGTGTATTTCAGTTACATCCCAGGATTATTTTTTAAAAACAAATTAAAGCTTGAGATTTTGACAATGAAATCACATTTACTTGGAAACGAAAATGTCAAGAGAAATTTGAAATTGATTGGTTAAGCTTTGAACATTCTTCTTTTTTTTGTTAGGTCTGGCTTCGGTTGGAACAGACAAAGTCCACTTATAAATATGGCTGTTACGGATATAAGCGACCACTGAAAGAACATTTCACTGAAAGAACATTTCACTGAAAGAACATTTCACTGAAATAACATTTCACTGAAAGAACATTTCACAGAAAGAACATTTCACTGAAAGAACATTTCACTGAAAGAACATTTCACTGAAAGAACATTTCACTGAAAGAACATTTCACTGAAAGAACATTTCACTGAAAGAACATTTCACTGAAAGAACATTTCACTGAAAGAACATTTCACTGAAAGAACATTTCACTGAAAGAACATTTCACTGAAAGAACATTTCACTGAAAGAACATTTCACTGAAAGAACATTTCACTGAAAGAACATTTCACAGAAAGAACATTTCACTAAAAGAACATTTCACTGAAAGAACATTTCACTGAAAGAACATTTCACTGAAAGAACATTTCACTGAAAGAAGAATTACCCGAAGCCCAACATTGTGCACACAACGCCGGCATCAGCATCTGTCCAGCTGGCTGCGCAGATGGAACCATTCACGCCCTCATTGTCCAGCTGAATGACGACCCTTCCACTGTACGGTGAGCCAGGTGCGTACGGCTGACCACTCTCCAGGGTTAGATACGTCACGTTGTGTTTGAATCCTGCACAATGATTTACACACAGGTTTCCTTTATGACATGTAACATTTGTGTTTTTGTGTGTGTGTTTGTTTTATTCCTTTATATTAACGTCGCTTTTACATAAGTCTTGCTAATTCTTCAAACGGCTAATTAACTCACTGCCCGTCAACCTATCGCGCTGAAACTTATCACATAGACTCGTTGCCGTTGACAACACTTTCTTTGAAATTCTCAGCCCCACCCCCTGTCACAAAGCACAAAAAATCACCCCTTATCATGGGGGAGATGAAAGAAATACGATGCCACTGATTTCACGAAATGAAAATCCCGAAAGCTGCGCTGAAAGATTCTTGAAAAGGAAATATCGCAAGAGTGTTTGCTGGTGAATATTTTTCTCTTCTTTCTCTTTGAAATAGTTGATGAAATAAATCTGCTGTGTAAGAGCGGGTGGGTCATGAATTTATTGGTAGAGTTCATGGAGGTGACACAATGTGCGGCTTATTGGTATAGTTCATGGAGGTGACACAATGTGCGGCTTATTGGTATAGTTCATGGAGGTGACACAATGTGCGGCTTATTGGTATAGTTCATGGAGGTGACACAATGTGCGGCTTATTGGTATAGTTCATGGAGGTGACACAATGTGCGGCTTATTGGTATAGTTCATGGAGGTGACACAATGTGCGGCTTATTGGTATAGTTCATGGAGGTGACACAATGTGTGGCTTATTGGTATAGTTCATGGAGGTGACACAATGTGCGGTTTCGAGCCTTGGTGGGGTGAAGGGTGCGCACTAGTTGCGATTCTTATAAAGTGCGTGATTTTTATATGTCACAGATCAAATATTTACATAATCATTTGTTTCGGATAATGGATTCATGTTCTTAAGTTAGGATAAACAGGAAGTTAATAAAAAAATATATGTCATGCGCAGAGGAGGCAAGTAGACGATACAAATGGCAGTCTGTTTATTTTCATCCTTGGATCTTGCCACGATTCCTTGTACATCACACACTATCTTAAAAGATGTGACAATCACATTTGCTCTAATTTCTAGAGATTTATATCATGATGTGTCTCTATATCATCCACAAATTCGTGATGCTATATTCTAATGCCATCGTCTTGTCTACTATCATGGAGGATTGTAAAATGGCAATAGACAGGGCAAAATACAATTTTATTTTAACATGTGAAAATATTGGATGCTTTTAAACTTTAAAATCCACTTTTCTCAAAATCTTCAAAATGTGACATGTCTGGTTTTTCCGCTGAGGTCTTCACATACAACTTGATAATACTGTCACTTGTTGCTGCCAGAGTTAGTTACAGTATGCGTGTTTTTGTTGAATTTTCAACCCAACCCCCCCCCCCCCCCCCATTGCTGGATACAACATTTTATCAACGATTTCTACCAACAACTTTGTTTTTAGGGTTGTTTAGTTTTTCTAGCAAAACTTGAAATGTCATTTTTCAACAATGTTTATCAAAGGGAGATGATGTACACCGAGCGCAATATAACCACAAAAAATCAGCTTTAGTATTTAGCATCTTTCACCATAGTCTCAAAACAACCGAAAAACTTAACAATTAATTTAAATTGTAGGAAACACCAGTCATCGTGATAGTTATGAAGTTACCTGTTAAAAAATACATTACAAAAAAATATGTTGGAAGGTTTTTTTTGTATTATTGAAGCCATGAAGATTTGTGTCAGCTTTATTTCTAAGCTAACATCTCTAAAATTAAACCATAATAGGGTCATGTCGGTACATAGAGCCGTACTGGGTGGTCGAATGGTCTAAACTGTGCAAACCTCAATTCCAGCCAAAGGCCGGTCATGCAAAAAACATCACCCCGGGTGGATGAGACTCGTTAACCTTGGTCGGCAATTCATCTAACTCTGAATTAAAATCCGGATTTGGAGTCCCGTAAGGCGCATACAAGGACAATTCCTGCAACCGTACCCAGCCCTGGTCGTCTTGACGTAGAGTCTTCCCACTGGAGATGGTGGGCCCGGACGAGAGAGTGAGGTTGACGCTGCGCAACTCTTCCTCACTTTAAACAAAAGTCACCCGCGCAGGTCATCAGTCACCGGACGACTTGATGGTCATTGTCGATCCTCGACGGAAGAACAACTGAAAAAGGGGGAGGGATGGGTCACTCGTCCGAGCTCCAAATCAGGTAGCGCAAAGGGTTGTGAATTAGATAGTGAATTAGATAGTGAATTAGATAGTGAATTAGATAGTGAATTAGATAGTGAATTAGATAGTGAATTAGATAGTGAATAAGTGAATTAGTGAATTAGATAGTGAATTAGATAGTGAATTAGATAGTGAGTTAGATAGTGAATTAGATAGAGAATTTGATAGTGAATTAGATAGTGAATTAGATAGTGAATTGGATAGTGAATTGGAATGTGAATTGGATAGTGAATTGGATAGTGAATTGGATAGTGAATTGGATAGTGAATTGGATAATGAATTGGATAGAGAATTAGATAGTGAATTAGATAGTGAATTAGATAGTGAAATAGATAGTGAATTGGATAGTGAATTGGACAGTGAATTGGACAGTGAATTGGATAGTGTATGGGATAGTGAATTACATAGTGAATTAGATAGTGAATTAGATAGTGAATTAGATACTCAATTAGATACTCAATTAGATAGTATATTAGTTAGTGAATTTGATAATGAATCAGATAATGAATTGGATAATGAATTAGATAGTGAATTAGATAGCAAATTAGATAAACAATTAGATAGTGAATTAGATAGTGAATTAAAAGATAAAATATTTGTACTGCACAAAGCTAAATAGGTCCGTTCACTGGTTCATCCTCATTGGGTTCTGATCACAACTGAAATTTAAATTAATTATTTTTTTCGCCCGTGTGTGTGAACATTGTTTTGTGTCATGTTTGTGTGTTGACGTGTGTGTGTGTGTGTTGATGTGTGTGTGTGTGTGTTGATGTGTGTGTGTGTGTGGGTGTGTGTGTGTGTGTGTGTGTGGGTGTGTGTGTGTGTGTGGGTGTGTGTGTGTGTGTGTGTGTGTGTGTGTGGGTGTGTGTGTGTGGGTGGGTGTGTGTGNGTGTGTGTGTGTGTTGATGTGTGTGTGTGTGTGTGTTGATGTGTGTGTGTTGATGTGTGTGTGTGTTGATGTGTGTGTATGTTTTGATGTGTGTGTGTGTGTTGATGTGTGTGTGTGTTGATGTGTGTGCAGCTGAATTTGTGTATATTTGAAAATGTGTTCCTGTGAGGGGGAGAGAGAGAGCAAGTGAGAGGGGGTGAGTTAGAGAGAGAGAAAGAGATGAGACAATCCAATTTGCAGTTTGACTCATTGAAATCATGTTTCGTGTACATTTATTGCGCTTGAATACAATAATGAAGTCCAATTTTTCACATAACAAAATTTTCTGAAAATTGTAGGACACAATAAGTAAACCATAGTAAACAACTCAGCCTTGTTTTGGAATCAACTTTACATCAATAATGTCATGAATTTATTTATTATTGTTCAATTATGTTTTCAAAATTAGATAATAAAGTAATATCATACAAAATTGTTCTGTTTATTCCGGCATTATTTGCCCTAGCCTCAGGTCAAAGGAGGACGTGTTTTTGAAAATTGTTTTCCCCACATCTTTAAGTGATCTCATGTTCCCCCTAAAGGTCCAGTTTCTTTTGTTTTCTAAGTATCATCTCTATTTAAAAACTCAACATATGTTTATCTATCATTCAAAGTAACTTTACCGTGACACTGCGATGTCCAGGCCAGAACAAAGACCGTCAAGATCCAATCAACCTTGACCTTTCCACAAGGCATGACTGAACGAGAATGCGCCTTGTCCGTCGATGTTTATTGTCGTATAAACAAAGAATTTTTTTTTCTTCTGTTTTCAGGTTCCTTGATATTTTAAACGAATTCCTGTCAACCACAACTATAGCCAGCCATTGAAAAACACGTCCCAACAGATGGGGCTAAGGCGGAACAAGTTAAAATTAATCACGTGGAATCGCAGTGTTTGCTCTATCTTATCTTTCGGGACCCAAAGCTATTAACGCTTTACGAGCTATATTGGGATAGCGTGTTTTCATTCTGAGATAAACACATATGTTGCGACTATGTTAAGCTTACATTTCATTTAAATATCAATTTTAATTTAGTTTGACATTGTTGGCGGATGTTTGAAATGGTTATCCTTGTTATATTTACCAATTACCTTCTCAGGCCAGTCTTATCAATGTGAAGGTAATTTATTAAAAGGTCGAGATATCCCAAGAATGATTTTTTAGAGAAGCTCTAGAGATTCCCTAGATATGCCCTAGATATGCCCTAGATATGCCCTAGATATGCCCGAGAGATGCCCGAGAGATCCCTTCAGACAAGTATCATTCCATTATTTGTTTACATGGTGATTGTAGGGCTTGAAAACTAATATTTTAAAGTTTAATTATTTAATTATTTTTTAAAGATTAATTATTTAGAAAGGGTACATTTAAGAAAGCTTAAACTAAATCAAACAACCATGTTTATTTTGGCTTGAAATAATTTTGAATTGCTCAATTTTAATCTAATCCAATATATTATTACAATTTAGCATTTTATGGATTGGGAAATTCGAATTACGGCATTTATATGATGTATTACTAAAGATGATCAGAATAAACAATTATTGGAATGACCATATTCTTGTTTTAGACTCAGAAATTATTTGAATGCCCATATATTGATGCTAAACTCAGCAATTATAAACATGTTGTCTGTGCGTCAGAAAAAAAAAAAAAGGGTTGGGGGGGGGGGGGGGGGGTGATTCTTAGCCAACATAAATATGTTGTATGTAATCATCCTGCAGGACAAGTTAAATTATTCCCAAAAATCGATTGTTCCCCCACCCCCAACCTCAAACGACATTTATCCTAAGTCCTGATGTTCACGTTTTGTGGGTGTCAATGATAACCACTGACCAGTGTGCTGGTTTCGATGTTATGAAAAAAGGCATCATATAGTTAAGTCTTTTGAGTACTAACTATAAATGAGTTCACATTTTATGTCCTTTAGATGTGTTACAGGGTCAAGCTAGTGCAAAATATTGGGCGTAACTCTTCTAAAATAGATTGGAAACAATATTTATGAACTCAAAACAAGAAGTGGAAGCCTTGCGCCAGACGGATTGTTCTTAAGTTCGTATGTAAAGATGACTACATTATATGATTAAATAGTTTGCTGTTACACCTATCAGGAGTGTACATATATATTAAGACGAATTTAGCAGCTTCTGTTGATTGGCTGGTTTCTTTGCGGAACATATCTCACCAAACAACACCTAGCTAAGTAAACTCGACTTTATGTTCGGAAATAACATTCATGCGGTACTGTTGACAAACTATGTGCCTCTGCGCCACACACACCCACACAACCCCCCGCGCCCACACGCGTCTCGTTCTGACATCCATCTTTTAGTTCAAAAATCGACTTTCAAAACTATGTCTTTTTAAGATGGCCCCCCCCCCCTTTTTTTTTTTTGCCCCGTGATTACGTTCATGTTTGTGTACAACATAAATCAAGTGAGCAGCCATTCATGGCGTGTATGAGATGTTTATGTCAACACTTCCTTATCTTAAATTGACGAGTGTATTTGGTCAACTTTATTTCAGGATTCATTCNTTCTCTCCCTCTCACCACCCCCCCCCCCAAACCTTCCTTAAATCATGTTTCGTCTCTGAATATCAAAATAGACGATTCGTATATTTTTTCACATATTGATATGACTTAATTCAACCTCGTTTGGTCAAATAAAGTTGTTTCTGACATCTTGATAGATGAATAGATGAATATAAAAGTTAGTATATAGCGTATAAGAAAGTGTAAAATGTATACATTATCATTCACTGTGTGATTTTTAAATCTCTTTGCTTGTGTGATAATTTACAGTTAGTTCTAAATAGTAAATTAGTAACTTCACAACAGCTATTGTCATGTCACAGATCTATATCCAACTACATTAGAACCGCCATTGTCATGTTACAGCTCAATATCCAACTACATTAGAACCGCCATTGTCATGTGACAGCTCAATATCCAACTACATTAGAACCGCCATTGTCATGTGACAGCTCAATATCCAACTTCATTAGAACCGTCATTGTCATGTGACAGCTCAATATCAAACTACATTAGAACCGCCATTGTCATGTGACAGCGCAATATCCAAATACATTAGAACCGCCATGGTTATGTGACAGCTCAATATCCAACTTCATTAGAACCGTCATTGTCATGTGACAGCTCAATATCAAACTACATTAGAACCGCCATTGTCATGTGACAGCTCAATATCCAACTACATTAGAACCGTCATTGTCATGTGACAGCTCAAAATCAAACTACATTAGAACCGCCATTGTCATGTGACAGCTCAATATCCAACTACAATGCAGTTTTTAGTATTTGTTGTAAAGGTGTTGTCAGCGTGGGATGGGCATAAAGATTGTGAGAGAGTGGGATAGAAATGAAGATGGAGAGAGAGTGGGATAGACATAAAGGTAGTGAGAGAGTGGGATAGACATAAAGATAGTGAGAGAATGTGTTTGACATAAAGATGGTGAGAGAGTGGGATAGACATAAAGATGGTGAGAGAGTGGGATAGACATAAAGATGGTGAGAGAGTGGGATAGACATAAATATGGTGGGTGAGTGGTATAGGCATAAATATGGTGGGAGAGTGGGTCTAGTATGGAGATGGTGAGTGAGTTGTGAAATTACCCACACTATCTGGGTCTAGAAGTACTTACAGTAGAGACAAAGTCGTGAAGTATAGTTGGAAAAGACTCTGCGTAAACACGTCTTAGGTTGTAAATCCTCAAATGTCAACATACATGACCTAATAACTGAATAAAAATGACCAGATATACTCACATATTTTATGTATAATTATATGTCAAAGTTTACATGTATTAAGCGAATTAATGGTAATCACTGGCAGCGATATTTTTTTTTATTCCTTCCTTTCTATTGTTGTCACTTTTATAATATCACATATAACTTTAAATGGCATTTTTCATGTCGACGTTGCACTTGCCCCCCCCCCCCCCCCCCGAGCGTTATCTCATTCTTCCCCTCCCCTCACCCTCCTTCCTCATCACCTTTCCCCCTCACGGTCACGCTTTTTGAACAATTATTTAATGTACTCATTAATTGTATTTTAATTACGATAGTGATTTATTTCAATTAATTTTATAACAAAACAAAAGGTGGTTTTTTTTTCGTCTTTTTTTAAAACCAAGAATAGGAAGCAAACATAAGGTATCCATAAATAGTTTATTTAAAATAATTGATTTTATCATTCTTAACCTGCCAAGAACATAACACAAGATAGAACATAACACAAGATAGAACATTACACAACAAAGAACATAACACAAGACAGAACATTACACAAGAAAGAACATAACAAAAGATAGCACATTTCACAAGATAGTACATAACACAAGATAGAATATTACACAAGATATAGCTTTACACAAAATAGAACATTACACAAGACATAACATTACACAAAATTGCAGTACAAAAGAATTACCAAGCAACTTGATAAGTAGCATGTGAAGTAAGCAGGAGGTGATCTGCCAGTGAAATCATTTGAATTATACCACTGAGTGGAGACTAAACAAGGAGACAACTCTGAATAAGCTTAAATGTATTAATAACATTAATGTAGTTACTTACCTTTGCTTTATAGTGGGTTTTTACTCAATGACGGATGAGACTCCGACCATCAAATAAATACTAACCATTTTTAGCTTAAACTTAATTCAGACCATCTTAAGTCTAATCATAAAGAGTCTGACCACATAGAGTCTGACCACAAAGAGTCTGACCACAAAGAGTCTGACCACATCGAGTCTGACCACATAGAGCCTGACCACATAGAGTCTGACCACATAGAGTCTGACCACAAAGAGCCTGACCACATAAAGTCGGAGCACATAGTTTCACTTCATTTCATGTAGGTAACTCCGATATACAGTTTACTTTCTCCGCTAGGAATCTTGGTTATGTACAGTCTAACAACATGTCTCTCAATAATCATATCTCTCACATTTGTCGCTCTGCATGCACCGCCATTCGTCAGATATGCTCCATACGCCAATACCTTACAGTTGGCGCAACAAAAACCTTAGTCTGTGCTCTTATTCTCTCTCGTCTTAATTATTGTAATTCTCTTCTATCAGGTTCACCAAAACATTTCTTAGAAAAATTACAAAAAGGTTCAAAACTCAGCCGCTAGGCTAATTCTAAAGGTAAGAAAACGTGATCACGTCACACCACTACTTCATTCACTGCATTGGCTCCCTATACAAGCACGGATGGACTACAAACTCTCTGTTCTCTGCCACAACTTTTTCTCGAATTCCTCCCACTCCTATGTAACCGAACTTCTCTCTGTCTATTCACCCCTTCGACAGCTTCGCTCCTCCACAGACGTGCGTATTCTTTCTGTCCCCAAGACTCGCACAAAAAAAAACACGGTAAACGATCGTTCTCTTTCTGTGCCCCCACACAATGGAATTCTTTTCCATTACACATCCGCAATATACCGACCATCAGTGCCTTCAAAACTGCACTCAAAACACACCTTTTTTATCTCTACTATCCTGACTGACTTCCCACCTCAGACCGTAAAACGATGGTACTGAGTGTCATCCATGGCTTGAGATGTAAATAGTTTTATATATACATTTGTTTTGTTTTATTTAATTTATGTATGTCAATTAATTATTTCAGATTTTATAAATTGTATGTACAGCGTGGTGAGCCCAGCCCTAGGCTGAGGTACCTTGCTATATAGAACCACGTATAATAATAATAATAATAAAATTAATAACTGACCACTTCAAGACCGATTGCCCCAAGACCGGCCATCTCAAGATTGACCACTGTAGATTTTCCGACTTAGACAAGACGATTGGAAACCTCCTTTGTGTTAAGTCAGGGGTCCGCCAGGGCTCGGGGCTAGGCCCCTGTTTATTCCTAGCATATATCAATGATCTGCCCGAGAAGCTTACTTCTCAGGCAAGACTACTCGCAGACGACACGGCGGTGTATAGGACGATCGCCAGCAGTTCTGACCAGGAACAGCTAAAACCATACATCCATTGGTTAGCCGAGTGGGAGATGAGCTTGGACATGAAATTTTATACCGTCAAGTGCAAGATGCTGTCATTCTCCAGAAGCAGATCTCCTCTACAATGTGTGCAACCAGGCAAACAAGACCCTTGGGTTCCTTAGGCGAAATTGAAAGATCAGAAACTCAAGCGTGAAAGAAAAAGCCTACAAAGCCTTTGTCCGGCCGCTTTTAGAGTACTCACCTACAGTCTGGGACCCATTGACCCAGAAAAGCATAAAAAAATGGACGGGGTCTTGCGACATGCAGCACGCTTTGTCCTGAACCGTTACAGAAAC